TCCCAGGTTCAAGTGATTCTCCTGCCTCAGCCTCCTGAGTAGCTGGGAATACAGGCACATGCCACCGTGCCCAGCTAATTTTTGTATTTTTAGTAGAGACAGGGTTTCACCATGTTGGTAAGGCTGGTCTCGAATTTGGCCTCATGATCTGCCCTCCTCAGCCTCCCAAAGTGCTGGGATTACAAGCGTGAGCCACTGTGACAGGTCCAATTCTCTCTCTTTTTTTAAAGTTTTCTTTTTTAAGAAACTTCAGGCTAGAGTTCAGTGTTGAGCATAGCTCACTTAAGTCTCAAACTCCTGGGATCAAGTGATCCTCTTGCCTCAGCTTCCTGAGTAGCTGGAACTACAGGTGTACATCTATGTGCCTGGTTAATTTCTTTTGTGGAGATGGGATCTCACTACATTGCCCAGGATGCTCTCAAACTCCTAAGCTCAAGCGACCCCTCTGTCTCAACCTCTCAAAGTGCTGGGATTACAGGTGTGAGCCACTGTGTTCAGTCAATATAAGAACCTTATTTGTGTATTTATGTGCTGATTGACTGTAGAAATGGGTATCTCCCTACCTTGCCCGGGCTGGTCTTTAACTCCTGGACTAAGTGATCCTCCTACCTCCACCTCCCCAAGTGCTAGGATTATAGATGTGAGCCAATGCACCCAGCTGAGGACGTTTTTTAAATTTAAAAAAAAAGGGGCCGGGAGCAGTGCCTGTAATCCCAGCACTTGGGGAGGCCAAGGCAGGGGGATGACAAGGTCAGGAGTTTGAGACCAGCCTGACCAACATGATGAAACCCTGTCTTTACTAAATATGAAATTAGCTGGGCTTAGTGGTGTGCGCCTGTAATCCCAGCTACTCAGGAGGCTGAGGCAGGAGAATCGCTTGAACCAGGAGGCGGAAGTTGCAGTGAGCCAAGATCATGTCACTGCACTCCAGCCTGGGTGACAGAGTAAGACTCCGCCTAAAAACAAAACAAAACAAAAAAAGGTCCCTTCATGGAATAAACACTGACCTTGATTTCTAAAACTCTCTTGATTTCTGACTTATTCTTAAAATTTTATAGTAACAAGATTTGAGGTTCAGTGCAGTATTCTGTGAGAGCCGGTGGAAGTCACAGTTGAGGCCGACATGCACTTTTATTGCACTCATTTGTGCTACCACAAGGCTGAGGACCAGTCTGGGTGGATTCCGACAAGGGCACAGGGTGACAGCGCACCAACCAGGAACACAGAGCCCGCCCAGGTCCTCCTCCGGCCTCTCCTCGCCACCTCGAGACTCAAGGACAGCGCATCCCAAAGCTCGACAGCCCTGCCTGGGAATTCCTGAAGAGAGAAGAGCGCTTCCTAGCCTGTACCCTGAGTCTCCTGGCTTCCTTCGGCTCATGGTGACCACGCTATTCCAAGGACATGGCTTCTAGCAGCCTCTTGAAACTCCAGGGGATTCTCAACATTATTCATGGATTTTCCCGTTTGTGGCAGGAATGAGAGAGAACCTTGGTCAGATGGCGATGTTACTCACTCTGACACCAAAGCCATTCAGTGCGCCTGCGAACACCTCTCCTCCACACTCACTGAGTTTGTGGACCAAGGCCAAGCTCCCTCATTTGACTTTCAATGTAGCTTTCTGTCTGACTCCTGCAGGCAAATGGGCTTCTCCCCACTTCACTGCTCCTCACAGAGTAACACTTGTGCCCAGGCCACGTTTGCCATACAGCCACATACCACGCATCCTAAGAGGCTCCTGGAGGTTACCCACACTTTGAAAAAGACTCCAGAAGTGGAGATCAGACTGTTTGGGTCTGACTTTCTCTTTAAGAGGATGTCAGTGACAAAATTCACAGTTGCCGAACACCTCCCATCTGACCCCAGGCTGTCTGTGCTCACTCTGTCCTCCACTCTTCGTGCAGGCCAAGCCTGTGGACATGAGTTCTGGCCTGGGAGTGAAGCTCCAGGTAGGGAACGAGCCAGCTCCAGGGTGAGGATCTCCCCCACAGCAGCACCCTGCCAGGCTCAGAGGGAGGAGCAAGGCACTCCCAAGTCCTGGCCTGGCCAAGGCTCACAGGGTGCAGATGCGGGTTCAAGGAGGAGCTGATGCAAGTCCACAGGAGCTCACATGCTCCCAAGGCCCTCCCTGCTGCCGCCTGCCCTGCGGTCCCTGGGAAGCCCCTGCGCCCCGTCTTCCTGGCTCACTCCCACACGCTGCCCCACACAGCTCAGGGCTGCAGTGAGGATGGAAGCGGGCGCAGTACCTGAGTGCGCTCTCCTCCACAAGGGCCTGGCTAGGTTAGAGGAGGGGAGCCTGCCAGTCACTAGCACAGCACAGCACAGCTCAGCAATTGCTGTCACCCAAAAAGACAGCTTGCAAGCACTTTTCTAATCCTGAGGGAGAAAGAAACAGAAACTTTCAGATCCAGAGAGCACTCACAACTATCCTAATTGGGCTTCCAGCAACTAGCCAGGGAGCGACATTGTGGTCACCTCCTGAGGAATTCTGGTTGCCCCTCCTGCTGAGAATGAAGTCCAGGACTGTACCTACCGTGTGACTGCACCTGGAGGACAGGCTGGGACAAAGCCAGACTCTTCTTCCATTAAGCAGCAGTTTACAAAATGAAGAGGAGTCATGGAAAGAAAAACACCCAAATCTCCATGCAAACTAGGCTATTCCAATTGTAATTGGATTTAACGTTGTCTTGGTCTAACGGTCCTCAGAGGTGGGTTGGACACTAGGAGATGTCCCATAGTCCCTGGGATTCAGATGGTTATTTTTAAATTTAATTCTATAGATCAAGAACTGAAAAAACCAAAATTAATCTCTGGATATCACTGTGTACTGTTTACATATACATAAATGAAACAGAAAACTTACCTCCGGAGAGGGGCATTCTCCTCAATATCTTCCAGGGTTTCTAAGGAAGATCTCTGAGAGATGAGGCGCCGTCTGCAGAGAGAAGGAAAAAATCTGGGAGTTAAAACTGCGTTGCAGAACTCATCAGACATTTCTGTAAATCTAAAACTGCCATTTAAAAAAAGATCAGATAAAGGCTGTCTCTAAGAGCCTGCCACGTTCCCACCCGGCATGCCAGGCCCATCTTGCTGGCTGAATTCTGAGCATTCTCCCTGGTTAGAGGACCTCTTTGTGGTGATTAAGGAAGTGACTGGTCCTTTTGAGGCTGCCATTTCCCCCAAGGACACACACACACACAGAGACAAGGGGCCTCTTGTAATAATATAGAATAACTCTGGCGCTGTGTGCAGCTTTTCTAAAGCATTAGCTAATACTGTTAAGTATCCCGATTTGAACCTGGTAACTGATAAATATGAAATCTAAAACCCTATTAAAAACAACTTCAAAGTCATTAGGATGCAATAAAAAGGTTATGCTCCTTGGATGGGCATGATTTTAAAAGCAACTAGAAACAAGAAAGAAATTATTCCTTTGGGAGAATTTCTCATACGGGTAGAGAGAATAAATACGCGGCATGACTATGCAAAACATTAACTCTTCCGGGCTGCTAAGGAATTGCAAACCACCTGCTAAAACCTCCTCAATCTACCAGTTTCTTTCGTCAGGCTGAAATAAAAACAGGTGCTAGTTAACTAAGAATATCAGGTACAAGGAGCAGGGTAGGGTGGTGGTAACTTTAAATAAATCAACTTGAACAAAGACCATCATTTGATAGTAAATGATTTGGTGGAGAGGGGGTGGATAGGAAAAGTTTGACTGGGTTGTTCCTTAAAACAGAACTAAAAATATGAAGATAAGTCTATTTTTTATTACATTTGGCAAAATATAGCCTAAGAACACACAGTCATAACCATGTTCTAATTTGTCCCAACGAACAAAGAATGATGCTTTTAATTCTATGTGTACTTTTTCTGACCAACTGCTCTGATACCTTTGGCTTGTTTTTGCTGTTATAAGACAATCAGAAAGGTCATTTTTGTAGCAAACTATTCAACAGCTTCATCAATTTTCCACCTTTCTTAATTTTTTGATACTCAAACCCTTTAAAAGAAAAATCCTCACCATACAGCCTCCTTGTCTCTTCTCCAACTGTAAAACAGGAGAACACTCGCAGCTCCTCACTCGTGTGAACCAAGCACACATCTCCCTCTGTCTTCATGACATACCGGACTTTCTACAGGAGCTGTGGTTCACTCTGCAATTACTAACAGTGACTTTCCATTTCTATAATATTGCCAGATTCCCAGGGGTCAGCCAGAGCTGTGGAGGAGACACGGGTCTTACTGAGAGTGGTGCAGAGTGAGGAGCCGAATTTACAGGTAGCCAATTTGTGAGTAGACAGGACCTTCCGTGCAACACTGAAACTCGGGGGACGGAGCTCACCTACACCCGTGACAGCACCTTCAGCTGGAGCTCTGAAGTGTCTATGCCATGGGTTGAGGCACAGCCTCTGAAATCCCAGTTAATCCTAGGAAAGCAGGCAGGTGAGCAGTGGGCCCAGCCTCTCTCCAGGTGCTGAGTCCCAGGTTGGACTGGGGCACTCACACCTGCCAACTGCAGATCTCAGCAGCAGAAACCCTATGCTACCCATTCAAAGGGTGATGTAATTCTACACAGGAGAATGCCTAGGGGCCAGGGTCAGCCACTCAAATTGCACTCTTGGGTTCCAAAGGTTTTGGGGCCTGAGAAAGCTCCTTAATCCGGCCAGAAACAGTGGCTCATGCCTGTAATCCCAGCACTTTGGGAGGCAGAGGCTAGCAGACCACCTGAGGTCAGGAGTTCGAGATTAGCTGAGCCAACATGGTGAACCCCATCTCTACTGAAAATACAAAATTAGCCAGGTGTGGTGGTGCATGCCTATAATCCCAGCTACTCGGGAGGCTGAGGCAGGAGAATCGTTTGAACCCAAGAGGCACAGGTTGCAGTGAGCTAAGATCAAGCCATTGCATTCCAGCTTGGGCAACAAGAGCAAAACTCCATCTCAAAAAAAAGAGAAAAAAAGCTCCTTAATCCTTGAGCCTCAGTTTCTTCATCTATGAAACAGCAATTAACTAAGAAAGGGGCACGTGTAAAGTCCCAGAATGGCAGCTACTGGCTTTTGATTGACACTCCAGTTTCCTTCCCTGGGTGGGGCTGCACCCTTACCTGCACCCCAGCTCAGCTAACCAGGAGTAGGCTGAGTATCTCAGCTCTGGCCCCAACTCAAGGCCCAGCCAGTGGCAGGGTCATTCCAAAATACCTTGCACCTGAGCCCACCAGAGACAAGTACGTGTTCCTTCCACACCTATATCCGCTTCTAAACACAACTAACTCTGCACATGTACACAATGGAGTGCACCAAGAAGCACAAGTCATACTTAACCGATGTGTTGCCCACCTATAAAATTAGTGCCGCTTCCCCCCCCACCGGGCATGGTGACTCACGCCTGTAATCCCAGCACTTGGGGAGGCCGGGGCGGGCGGATCATGAGGTCAGGAGCTTGAAACCATCCTGCCCAACATGGTGAAACCCCGTCTCTACTAAAAATACAAAATTAGCTGTGTGTGGTGGCACAGGCCTGTAATCCCAGTTACTTGGGAGGCTGAGGGGGGATAATCGCATGAACCCGGGAGGCAGAGTTGCAGTGAGCCAAGATCTCACCACTGCACTCCAGCCTCAGTGACAGAGCGAGACTCTGTCTCAAAAAATAAAATAAATAAAATTAGTGTCCCCTAGGCCTCCCTGCACTGCTCTCTGGTCTCCCTACAGCCAGAAGTCAGTGATTAAAATATTTACTCTGTTTATCTCCACATGATGTTCTGAGCTTTTAAATCTAAAGTAAAACATTCGAGTATTTACTTAAATTAAGCATGCATATCTAAATTGTCATTAGAGATAACTCCTGCAGGCAGAAATAAATGTATAGGCTTCGGATCCTGAGAAACTCTACACACTCTGTCACACTTTGAGCCTTTCTTTGTAGAACAGCATCTTCTGGTGACCAGTAAATAAGCAATTGATGTTTTGTTCAGTCTGCACCCAGGCAACTGAGGCGGCCGTGCAGGGGAAGGGCTGAAGGCTACCCTTCTTCAGGTACCCTAAGGAGACCCAGGGAAGCCCTGGGTGAGCTCTTCAGGCACAGATGCCACCCAGGCTCCGGCAGAGCCCAGAGCCCAGCCAGGCAGGTTCGCCTCTTCACGTATCTACCCCCGCCCACCCAACAGCGTGACAGCCAACCGTGTCGGGAATACACAGCTGAACCAGTCTTGCCTCCTGTCCTCAGAGGCTCAGAGTCATGTGGGGATCCATGGGACGACCGCCAAGGAGCCCCATTAACAATCCCTGAAGCCCCCACATCCTTCGGGGCTGCGGCGTGGTGAACACTCCAGCTGAGTCCCACAGTGACCACGGAAGGCCCTGCCCAGAAGCACAAACTCCTCCAACACCCAGATCAGGGTGTTTTGCCCTAGAAAATCAGGCCCACCCACAAAAGTACACGACCTAAACAGGCCCATCCACAAAAGCACACGACTCAATCAGACCCATCCACAAAAGCACACAACCCAATCAGGCCCATCCACAAAAGCACACGACTCAAAAAGCCCTAGCCAGCTCTTCCTACACCAGAAACAAGATGATAACCAAATGAGAATGTATCTTTCTTTACAGTTATAATGTTTTTTTAAAAAAGCCAGCACACATTTGATAATTCCCTCCAGGTGCTGAACTGGTGTGAATGCACACACATATTACAGATTAAATGTCTATGTCCCTTCAAAATTCACATGTTGAAATCACAACCCCCACTGTAATGGTATGAGGAGGAGAGGTCCATGGGAAGTGATCTGCCATAAGGGTGGGGCCCTCATGAATGGGATTAGTGCCCTTGTAAAGGGGACCCCAGAGAGCTCTCTAACTCCCTTTCTGCCATGCAAGGACAACAGAAATTGGTCATCTGTAACTGGAAAAGCCCTCATCTGACCCCAACCATGCTCACATCCAGATCATGATCTTCTAGCCTTTAGACCTGTGAGAAAATACATTTCTGTTTTTTTGTTTGTTTGTTTTTTGGAGACAGAGTCTTGCTCTGTCTCCCAGGATAGAGTGCAGTGGCCTGATCTTGGTTCACTGCAACCTCTGCCTCCCAGGCTCAAGCAATTCTTGTGTCTCAGCCTCCCGAGTAGCTGGAACTACAGGTGTGTGCCACCATGCTTGGCTAATTTTTGTATTTTTAGTAGAGACAGGGTTTCGCCTTGTTGGCCAGGCTGGTCTCAAACTGCTGGTCTCAAGTGATCCACCTGCCTTGGCCTCCCAAAATGCTAGGATTATAGGCGTGAGCCACCAGGCCCAACAGAGAAATACATTTCTATTGTTTGTAAGCCATCCAATCTTTGGTACTTTGTTATAGCAGTCCAAACTCAGACAGACAGACAGACAGACAGACAGACAGACACACACACACACACACAGACACACACACACACCTGCAGGTATGCAGCATACACATGGGCACTTCTGATCAGGATTCCTTAAAGGGGAAAAAATCCACAGCCCAAATGCCCACCTGTTCCTTTAACTTCAGCAGATGTACTTCCCTTCTTTGGGAATGTAACCAACCAGTATATTCTAAGACAGAGATGAGAACTTAGAACTACCACCAGTCACTGTAAAGAAACCATTCTATGGTACCACCAAACAGCAAAGGATGCCTGCCCTTCCAGTCTAAGATGAGGACCTGTTCCCTGCCTCGAGGGTGGCCTGTGAACTAGCATTGTCACTCAGCGCGCTCATCTCTGCCCACACCACCTTGCCGGATCCTCCCAGGCATGTAGTAGTGCCTTCTCCCTCACCTTCTATCCCCAGAAAGCCTGCAATAAACAAAGCCTCAGGGCAGGTGGCCAATCTTAACCAGCCACTTTTCACTCTGCAATTTCCCTCCCAAACTAAGTCTATTACTATGCAAACTCATCATTATACAGTTAACAAGCAGAGG